TACTTTCGATCACCTACGATAAAGACTTTACTGAAAGGCCAAAGGGCCAAATTCATTTTTTCAATTCCATGCCTCGTCGAAGCTCCGTGTCTTACAACATGAACATCATGATATCTGGGTATCTGAGGAGCAAAAAGTTTGACCTTGCAAAGGACCCGTTTGATAAAATGCCTAAAAGAGACTTGTTATCCTGGAATATAATTCTCATCGGATATTATTTGAATTAATGCCTTAAAAGGATGTTGTTTTGTGAACTACCAAGTTAACTGGGCATTCTCAATAAGGAAGGTGTTTGGTATAATGCCTGGTAAGGATTCCTTCTCCTGGAATGTGTTGCTTTTAGCATATGTTAGGAATGGGATAATCGAGGAGGTTTATCGGTTGTTTAAGTCAAAATGAGACTGGGATTTGATTTACTGGAACATAATGATTTCATGTTATACTCAAGATGGAAATATGTCAGAAGCTAGAAGACTGTTTGACAAATCTCCAATACGTAAAGTGATCACGTGGACAACAATGACGTCTGGATATTTGCAGAATAGAATGTTGTATGAGGCAAGATTATTTTTGATGAAATGCCTAAAATAGATGGGATTTCATACATTGCGATGTTTACTGGTTATACTCATAACAGTCACTGTGAAGATGTTTTGAACATGTTTGTGCTGATGAAATGAGATGGAGAAAGTTTAAATAGGGACGCATACAGTTGTGCTTTGAGCGCATGTGTTGATATTAGTGCTTTGAAGCTTGGTAAATAAGTCCATGGGTAGGTGGTGAAGATGACATATGAGACTATCCATTCTTAATTGCCAACGGTAAAGAACTCCTGATATACCAAAGGTCCCCATTCGATCTTCCTTGTTAGTAATCTGGTATGACTCCATTCATATAGAACTGTTGTATAATTGGTGAAGGGACCAATAGACAAGCACTAGGGGCTAGGTTGTAGAATTAGTGAAAAGGCTGATAAACAAGTGAAGTTTATGTGATGATGCTATTGTATGTACTTTGGCCATTTGGACTTTTAAGGATTTGCCTCTAGATATATGTTGTTGTCATACCATGTATATACTAACCTTTCATGCAGGAAGTGAACTCATGGGTGGAGAACTTCTCCATAAATCTTGAATTTACTAAGATGTTGAAATCTCACCTCGTATGAGGAACATGTTTCAGGTGCTCTAGCAGCAGGAGATGGGCCCTCAGAGGCAAGAGGCCCGCACGGAGTTGGAGGACTCATGCATGTTGGAGACTAAATGACTGTATAGAGATTTTGTGGTTTATTTTGGTATAATCATGCACAGTTATATAGGCTAATATGTATTTTGAGGCATAGATATGTATATGTTGTTTACGGTTTGTAATTAAGGCACGTGTAACCATTATTGTAGTTAAACATTTGCAAAGTAGTATGATATTCAGAGGATGCATGTAAGTGTATAGATTTTATAATGATGTAAAGTAGGGTTGGCAAAACGGGCCAACCCGGCTCGACCCGCATGCAACCCGAAAAATCAAGCTAGGTTAGGGTTGGCTAAAAAAAAACGAGCTAGAAAACCTAACCTGACCCGAGTCGGGTTAGGGTTGGCTCAAAAACATGGCTCGTGGGTTAGCTTGAAAAAATAGCTCGCGAGTTGGCTCGAAAATTGGCTCATTTTTAGCCTATTTAAATGAACCTGTAATATTAATGCACCAGCTATGTGGCTTTGATCAGCTTAAACAAAGAATTACAAAATGAGAAATAAAAACAAAATATTCTAGTTTCAAATTTTTTTCACAACAAATTTGCACCAACATCAAGAAACAATCAGAACCACTTGCTACGAAGTAGGTAAGATATTTGAACCAAACAGAGTCAGCACAGACTAAAAATATAAAAATGGCCGGGATGTGAGAAGATTAGGGACTTAGGTTTAGAGAAGGAAGAAAGACGATGACAACATGTGTGAGTTTTGTCCATTTTTGTATATTATATTTTGTATTTTTATATAAAAAAAAAATCAACCCGCGAGCTGGCCTGTTTGACCCGCGGGTTGGCTCGTTTTTTTTCGAGCTGAGTCGGGTCGGGTTGGCAGCTCATTTTTGACGGGTTATGAGCCAACCCGACTGGTTGGCTCGTTTTTGCCAACCCTAATGTGAAGTATGGGCACAGAGCCTTAAGTATATGAATCCATGGATAGATTCTAGGTTTATTATGGTTAGACTGCTTAATATATGTCTGGACTAGACTTTTCTGGTTTTGAAGTACCATGAGTAATAATGGGATATTATCCCTGGAATGTACAGTTTACAATTGAAATGTTATTCGTGAGATTCTATCTGGTATGGTACATGTGACCATACTAGGATAGTCATTGACCATTAATATGATCCCAGAATTATTAAGTTTATCCAAAGTTTGAGAATGGAGTAAATGGAACTTCATGGTGGTAACTTATAGGTAGTGTATGATATGTTAAAGCAACGTTTAATTATTCTGCACTTTGTTCGAGTTATAATTACAGTTTTGAATTGTTTACATACAGAAAGAACTTTAAACAGTAAACGTTTATTAACAGTAAAGAAAAAGTTCATTCGTATTTTAATTCAACTACTGTATATTGTAACTGTGCTTAATATTATACATAATGATGACAAACCGACAGCTGACGAGGTGTTACACCTTTTATACCATTATGGTTCGGAGGGCAAACATCTCCATCACCAGCAGTATAACCACCATATGTTGCCAAGGTAACAGAGGAGGGAGGTAAGTAAAAACTCAAGTCCACATTCAGCCTTGCACAAAGGGCCTGCAAGAGAGCATTATTTTGCCTTACTTCCTACTCCATCTGCAGAAATTTCTCCATAAGTTGCTAATTTGTGGGAGCTGTGTGTTGCAAGTCTTCCTGCATACTTTAACCGTAATGAACCGCAACATCCTCATTTGTATCAGGATGATCATCCGAGGGGTCAACTTCATCCTCTTCGACCTGATTAGTGGGGATTAATATGCCTACAAGAGTAATGGCATATATACTTAAAGCACAAGAAGTAAGGTTTGATTTTTTTTGAGGCGAGTAAGTTCCCCTAGGTATTCTCACAAGCTTCGGTTCTTTGAATTGGCTGTGGAACTGATCCCGAGTGCGGGGAGAGTCCGGGAATAAGATCTTATGCGCCTCCCAAAGGTGGTATTGGTAAGGATCAAATCGAGGTCCTTTCATCATCTACTTAGCTTTCTAATTCAGCTGTGTATCTAAATTTTTTAAATATATTTTGACTTTAATAAGTGCAAATATGAAAGAAATAATGCTTATTTCACTTTAAATTTATATAATTTTAATCACTTGATTATAATTAACTTCACTCTATTTTTGCATATTTGTATTCTAATTAACTTCTTTTTTTATGTTAAAATTGTGATATAAGTGATAGGCAATAATTTTTTTTTTAAAAAAAAAAACCCATGTGAGCAAAAATCATAACGTTGAAATCAAACAATCAAAACGATCACAAAATATGTTGGGGGGATATAAGAGCTTGTTTGGATCCTCTTATTTTTAAGCTAGAAGCTACTTATAAGTTAAAGCTAAAAAAAAGAGCTTAAAAAAAAGTTAAAAGCTGTTTGGAAATTACATAAAAAACTTAGCTTAAAAATTACTTAAAAGCACATATTTCAAGAAAATTATCTCTCTTTCCATCTTTATCACTCTTCATTTTAAAAAAAGCACATAATTCAAGAAAAACAGATAAGAGCTTAAAAAAAGCTTTTAGTTTTCAGCTTTTTTCTTCAAAAAGAAGAGCTTTTCATATAAGAGCTTTTCTCAAAACCTGTTTGGCCTAACTTATGCTTATAAGTAGCTTCTAGCTAAAAAAGAGAGGATCCAAACAGGCACTAAATCTCATGCAATAGGAGATAATGAAACTTTTTAGTTGACTCAAAAAGATATGGGACCCACTCAATTTTTTTCTCTTTTACCTATATAGTGGGGCCCATAATATTTGTGTGTCTACAAAAGGATACAATTTATAGTGACGCGTGTCTTTTAGTAAAGTAGAATGGGTTTATCTTTCTATGCACTTTTTTTTTAGATATTCCAATTGGTTCTTCGTTTCGCGACTAATCCGATTCGGGACGGGTCCCGAGATTAAGGCTTTAAACTTCTCCTAATTATGACACTGAGGAGGATCAAACACATTTTGTTACCCCCACCTGCTCAGTTCTCTTGATGTAAATTAAACGACCATGATTTGCATCATTTGATATCTTTCTATGCAGTTTGATTCTGTCATATTATACTAGTTTATACTAGGTGATATGTTTCATAGAAATGTACAAGTGTTGTTTATCTTTCTTGACAAATACTTCAACATCTTTATAACTATTTAAAACATAAATTATTAACTACAAAATAAAAAAGTTTAATAAATTGAAAAGATAATAAGTATTTAATACCTTTATTTTTAATAATTTGAAGGATTATTAGGAAATATTAAAATATTCAAAGAAGCACCTATAACACATGCATTGGGAGTCTATATCCTAAGCTGAAAGTCTAGGTTCAAGCAAAAAGCAAAAGAAAACTAAAACAAAATTCACCACAAAATTTTACATTTCCTGCAACTGAAAACCAAGTTGCAACAACTCAACAGAAGATGGGGATACAAACATCTCCAATTTACTGGTCCAGAAACCTAGCCAGTTCTTAAATCTCCTCAAGAAAAGGTGGTCCTGCAGAGCTTCCTAACTGAACCGGATGAAACTTAGAATCAACATATGTAAACAAGCCAAAGTGTCAATCAAACAATGAAACCATGGCTACCACTTCTAAGTTCTACCTTCTCATGACCTTGGGGTGAAATATACCTTAGACCCCACAGTATAAGAAAGACATCTCAGACACAGAGAAATGAGGATATAAGAAGGAAAAAAAAAAAAAAAGTACCATGGGAAAGAATGGTAGGGTTATACTAGTAGATTTACAAGCTCACTTGCAATCATGCAAACACATATATTAGGACACCAAAACTGGAATCCGCTTGTGCCCTATGAAAGCTTGCCGAAGCTTATTATAACCATTTCTGTAGTGCTCAAGTGAGAAGCATAGCTGCCTTATAGCCTCACGTTTCTCTTCAGCTCCTTCTAAGATCTCAATCCTTTGCTTATCAATCTCTTCCTCTAGTTGCTTAACTCTTGCATTGAGATTATCTCTTTCTAACTTTAAAGCATCAAGGCTTACATTGAGATCTTTTAAGTTGTTCTTTCTGTCCTTAATATCTACCTTTAAGAGCTCAATTTCACCCTCCATCTCTAAATTTTCAAAGTGAATCTTTCTAATATCCTCTTCCAAAGATTGGCCATGGCATTCCAATTCTTTTATCTTCTCCTCCAAACGTGTCTGTTCCCCCAACAATCTAGATACTTCAGACTTCAACTGCACTTTCTCCAAGAAGATTTTTAGTTCTGCATCAATAGCAGCTTTTAAATCCCTTATCTTATGATCTCTATCTGCTAGACTAGTTTTCAACCTCCCAAGTCTTTCTTGGAGTTTAGTACTCTCTCTTTTCTCAGAATTGAATTTTGTTTTCCAAGTAGCAATGTCCTTCTGAGCCAATTTAAGTTGATCCTGCAATTGCTGAATGCTTTCACATGATTTTCTGGCATCAAATTTCAAAGAAGCAATTTGCTTCTCTGAAGACTCAAATTTTTCTTTTGTGATTCTTAGCTCCTCCCCAAGTGTCTTGATATCTTCTTCACTTGATGATAATTCAGTACCACCCTCCAAATTTCCTGATTTCATTGACCTGTATTTTTCAAGCTCAATCTTCAGTTTAGTGATTTCCTCTTCTGAAAGCCTTAACTTTTCTTCATATGCATTAATCTTGGCACGAACATCTTCAGCATTATCAATTCTTATCATCCCCTTAGATGAACCCTCCACACGTTCCTCCTCATGCATGGAGAGCTTTTCTTTTACCTCACGTAACTCAATTTCCAATTCCAATATCCTTTTGTTCATGGCATGATCTGTTCCATTTCCAAAGAAACCTGAATAACTATTCATAGATGAAGCATCATCAAATTCATCATCAGAATCTGTCAAAGTAGAAGACCCATCTCCATAATCTTTTTGGTTTGCATCATAACCATTTCCACCAGAACCAAGAAAGAAATCAAACCCTGCAGCACGGTTGCTAGATATGCGACGACCCAATTTTCTTGGAGAAGGAGATGGCCAAGTTGAAGGTGGATCAGAACCATTATCTGAAACACATGAAGCTTGTGATTGAATATCAGAAGGCATGTTCTTCGACAATTCACCTGTAACATGTTCATAACGTTCAGCCAAAGATCTATAACCACGGTAGAACTCTTCAACAAGAGAAATCAATTCTGGCCTCTTCTGATAATACATTTCAGCTTTTTGTGCAAATGAATCTCCATCCTCTTCAATCAGCTTCAACATTTGCCTCACGTTACGGTCCATCTCTGAGGTTAAGGATCGCTTTGTTAATTTCTTGAGAGTCATTGTGATGAAAAAATGATTATGGCATGCAAATTTACTTTGAAATTCAATGAGAAAAAGTAAAAAGTAAAAATAAAATTCAACCACCCTCCCCAACTGCTGCAAAGTTGGGGAATGGTAAATCCTTTTTTGCAGTATAATGAGGACAAGGATGAGACAAGATGTTGTTAATATGACACCAACGTTAATTTGTTTACTTGTTTTGTCTTTTCCTTGTTTAGAATGTGCAAATGTGGAACTGCTTATAAACCTTGTTAAAAGGAGCTATAGATGTGGTTAGAATTAGAAGAACAGAATCTAGGACTTTGTTAACAAGAACCTTTTGTTTTGTTATATCGGTGGAAGGAATAAGGGGAGGGGTGGAACGGGTACTTATAATGGAGTTCATATATGTTGCATGGTTGAAGATAAATAATAATAATAATAATGATGACAATAAATGGAGCAAATTTTTTTGTTTTCAGATAAAGATAATTTTCCTAGCTATCTTAAAGGCTATATAATTTCAAACTAACAATAAAACTCTGCTTTAAAAAGTTGGAGGCATATCAGTTGGAGAGTTATGGTTTCTCACACGAGATATATAGAAGCATATCAACCTCTAAAATAACAAGACACGAGAGCAACATTGAAATAAATCTGTATATTTAATTGATTCAGGAGAGTACAATATATAAAGAAATACTAATGACCTTAATATAGATCTAACCTAAATTCCAATGAAATAAGGAAATAGATCTTTACAAATAATAAAGATATTCTAAAGATATTCTTTCCAACACTCCCCTGGAGCGTATAGATCATAAGCAACAAGCTTAAACAAAAAAGATTAAGAAACATAACATCAAAATAAATAAGTGAGGTTTGTAACAACTCTACAACCCACACTGAAAAAACAAACAAACATAATAAACTAAAATAAAATATTATCTATTTCTCGAATACTCCCCCTCAAGATGGAGGGACACTTTATCTTGGAAAAAAAAGAAAACTAAAACGAAGCTTCATGGAATATAAATCGGAGAAATCGCCAGCAAATCAACTAGAATGACCATAAATTTGAAGAGTCGATAAAGGGATCAGCCTAATGGGCTGCGAAAAACATCAGCCAAAAGGGCTGGGAAAGACATTGCTACAACTGGGATACAAGCCGACAGAGCCACTTTAACTGGAAAAAATCTACGGACCAGGCAACAACTGAGAAAGACATTAGCCAAAAAGGGCTGGGAAAGACATTGTTGCAACTGGGATACAAGCTGACGGAGCCACTTTAACTGGAAAAATCCTTGGACTAGGCAACAACAGAGATAAATGCTCCCTCTGAAGAAGAAGAAAACACAGCCAGAAGAAATAAGATTCGGCCGCAGAAGAAAAGATGATGCGGGAGGTGGAAAGAGACGCGACCAGAGGAGACATGACCGGGAAAGAATGCGCGCAACCAGGAGGGAGACGACGTGCGAACACTGGCATAGTGGTCACAGACGGCAACAGCAACACCGGTGGCGACGGAAGCGGACAAAGTGCTAGACGGTGGCTGGGTCATTGACGGTGACAGAGCACAACACTTGCAACGGCGAAGGTAGGAACGTGAAGAAGAAACTAAGAGAAACGGAGAGAAAAAGAGAAATGAAAAAGTTGGGAAAGTCAATCCCTCATGATGGGTGATATCTCCCTACTACCATATTAAAATTATGAAAAAAAAGTAAGGAAAGAAGGACAAGGATTCCTCTCAATAGGCTCTTGATACCATGTAAAATAACAAGAGAGGAGAGGAAAATTGAAATAAATCTGTATATTGAATTAATTCAGGAGAGTACAATATATAAAGAAATACTAATGTGCTTAGTCCAGACCTAACCTAAATTATAATGAAATAAGGAAATAGATCTTTATAAATAATAAAGATATTCTAAAGATATTCTTTCCAACACAACCATTTGTATAAAATATAAATAAAGTTACACAAAACAAAACAATTGCTTGCTTAGACAAGATCCATAGTAAAGAATCATTTAAACCAAATGGTGGTAGTTCAGTTGGCGTATGAGAGCTGAGCAAGTGAGAGTGAGAGCATGTGTTCGGTCCTCCCGAGTACCACCTTTGGGTGGAGTTTAAAACATTAATCTTGGACTTACTCCGAATCAGACTAGTAGCGAAGTGATGAATCGATTGAAATATTTAGAAAAAAGAGAGTAAAGAATCATTTTAATAGGATCATTTTCTATACACCCGTTGTACGTGCATCTACGATTCAGAAAGTGACACTTGGATTAAAAAAAATATTTTCTTCTTTCCTCTGTATTGATATCACAGTTATTGCTCCATTTTTATTGGCTATCTCATCGAGTGCAGTGTGCGACGATTGTACCATAGATATTTTCCATTTTAACCTGTTGTCTATTGATAAGTGATAATTACATTAATAATTTCATATTAATATTTTTAATACATTCTCTCACAAGTGTGTTTGGGTTTAAATTAAAGGGTCAGATGATACGATTCCACTCACTCTAATATCTTGTAATGCAATTAATTTAACCAAATAAGTTAAGCTTATAAGTGATGATTATATTAATAATAGGATTCCTAAAGTAATATTATTTTCCTAACAATTTTTAAGTTCTAAATTTGTAGAGGATATAACAAAGGTGTTCCTACTCTCGGTTGAGCAAAAACTGCATCCTTGTTTGACACATTATTTTGCTTAACTTTTGATAATGAATTAAGAAAATAAGACAAGTGGGCATATATAGAAGATTATTTAAACGATAGTTGCATTACATACCTTGAAGATTTTTGGAAAACCATTTAGAACTCTTGGGACTGATATGACTCTCCCACCACCACGAATGTGACTTTCTCGATTTCATCCTTTTAATTTGTTTGTTAGAACGATTCTGAAAAAAAGAACACAGATTATTATGAAAAAATGAAACCAAGAGAGTGAAGAGACACAGTGGGTAACCAATACCCAGTTGGAGGCAAACAGGAAAATTACAACTCGAAGAATCTATTATACATCTATGGTTGAAATTTGTTATTTGAAAACTTAGAATGGGTGACATTATTATATAAAAAAAATTAATAATATCATTAAATTCATATATATATATATATATATATATATATATATATATATAGGAGTGTGCAAAAAAACTGGTTCACTTGCCCTGCCTATTGGAATATATTAGCCTCAGTTTAGTGCACCGTTAGATTAGTTTAGATTAGTTAAGAGTGGTTCAACTAACTCCATATTTCACGGGTTCAGTTGCATCTCTAGCAACTGATTACTCTTATAACTCTTGTAATATAAAAGCTAGAATGTACTCACTTTGTAACTCAATGAATTACACCAGATTATCAGAATGCTTTCTTCCTCAAGTTCTCTGACTTTTCTCTCTGTTTTCTCTTAACCTTGCTTTCGTTTATGGTATCAGAGCTCCAATCTTGGGGCCCTGATCCATTACTTGCCTTTCCATGGCTTCCGCTACACAAAATCTTGCTGATACTATCAATCCTTCTTCTCATAATACCTCAAAAGATTCAAGATCACCTATGTTTTTTAATACACAGCTGTCAGTAAAATTGACAAACAAGAACTTCCTCTTGTGGAAACAGATCGTTGAACCACCGGTTATAGCTCATCAACTCGAACATTTTCTGGTAAATCCTCAAGTTCCACTGCGTTTTCTGTCTGATGAAGATCGTGCATGTGAAAAAGTAAATCCAGCCTTTGTTGAATGGGAGAAAACCGATAAAATGCTGCTTACATGGCTTCAGTCTACACTTTCAGAGGAAATCATCAACAAGATTCTTGGAGTTCGACAGTCTTATCAAGCTTGGGACAAAATTCATCGATACTTTGACTCAGTAACCAAAGCCAAGGCGAATCAAGTGAGTTCCGAACTCAAAAACATCAAGAAAGGTGATAGAAGCATTGAAGAGTATCTTGCTTGAGTGAAGGCTCTTGGTGACATGCTTATTGCTATTTGTGAGCCTCTCACTGATAAAGAACTTGTGCGCACAGTTCTTGAAGGTTTACCTGAAGAATATGGTCCCTTCATCACCTACTTCAGAGGCAGAGAATCAAGTTGTTTTGATGATCTCGAGTCACAGATCTTGGCTCAAGAAGCAATGCTCACGAAGTTTCAGTCACATGCATTAAGTCTCAACTCCATCAATGTGGCTCACAGTCCTCAGTTACCTCCTGTCTCACATGCTCCAGATCAAGCCAGCTACAGACCACAAGGATCAATTGTTCAACAGTCTTTCGAACAAGGAAATGTCATCAGAAACTTTGTGCAGCCAACTCGTGGTGGTTGGCGTGGTGGCAGAGGACGTCATCGTGGTGGCATAAATTTTGTTGGTGGTAGGTTCTTTGTTACTTGTCAACTTTGCAAGAAAAATGGTCATGAGGCCACCAACTGCTGGTGGAGGTACAACAACAGTTCGTCTTCTCCTTCAGCCAGTTCTTCTCATTATCCAATGAGTTCACATGCTCCAATGAACTCTCCAACCACCTTTCTTGCTGCAGCACACTTGACAGTCTCTCATCCCTCAATTAATCCTAACTGGAGTTTCTCATCTGCCTTCCCTGGATCCTTTCATAACTTGCAGCCTCCAACCAATTTTTCACAGGCTGGTAATACTCATGCATTTGTTGGTGCTTCTAACAATCACATGACTTTGGACTGGTATCCTGATTCAGGAGCTTCACATCATGTAACTCCAAATCCAGCTAATCTGTTACACAGTAATCAATATGGTGGTCCAGATCAGATATTTGTTGGTAATGGCCAAGGTTTGGCAATTTCCTCTATTGGTTCTAGTAGTTTCTGTTCTCCCTTTTCTCCACATACTTCACTTCATTTACATAAGCTTCTTCTTGTTCCACAAATCACCAAAAATCTCTTAAGTGTCAGTCAATTTGCTAAGGATAACAATGTCTATTTTGAATTCCATTCCACTTACTGTGTTGTCAAATCTCAGGAGACCCAGGAGGTCTTACTTGAAGGCTTTCTTGGAAGTGATGGTCTTTACAAGTTCAAAGGTCTTCCAACCACTGTTTCCTCACCATCTCCAGGCTGCTCAAGCAATCCTTCGAGTGCTTCTGATCATTCAGTAGCTATTTGTAATTCTTCGTGTTGTAATTCTGTTAATTCTGTGCAATCTTGTAATTTTTCCAATAAGTCTGTTCATACAGTGTGTATTCCCAACTCTTGTAATACTGCTTCCATTAATACTTCAGTGGCTGATGTATCTAGGTCTTATAATCTCTGGCATTCTAGATTAGGACATCCTCACTTTGAAGCTTTACAAAGGATACTATCTCATTGTAATATTTCATTAGGAAATAAACCAATTTCTGATTTTTGTTCTGCATGTTGTATGGGCAAATCTCACAGATTGCCTTCACTTCCTTCTTCTACAGTTTATTCTGAACCTTTTCAACTTGTTGTTAGTGACTTGTGGGGACCAGCTCCAATTCAGTCATCCCAAGGCTTCATGTATTATATAACCTTTGTGGATGTTGCAACCAGGTTCACTTGGATTTACCTTCTTAAACAAAAATCTGACTCTTTGTTTGTTTTCAAAAAATTTCATTCCCTGGTTTCTACACAATTCAAGCAAGCTATTAAGTCTGTCCAAACTGATTGGGGTGGTGAGTTTAGGCCTTTTACCAAATTTCTCACTGAGTTGGGCATCACTCATCGTTTGATATGTCCTCACACTCATCATCAAAATGGGTTGGTTGAGAGAAAACATAGACATATAGTAGACATGGGGCTAACTCTCCTTGCACATGCCTCTCTTCCCCTAAAATATTGGGATCATGCGTTCCTCGCAACTGTGTACTTAATTAACAGGCTTCCCACTTCAGCTTTAAAGTTCAAAATCCCTCACTTTGTGCTTCACAAGTCCCTTCCTGATTTTTCCTTTCTTAGAACCTTTGGCTGTGCATGTTTTTTCCTCCTTCGACCATACAACAAGCACAAGTTTGATTTTAGGTCTCATGAGTGTGTTTTTCTAGGCTACTCACCAAGCCATAAAGGGTACAAGTGTCTTAGTCCTAATGGCAAAATTTACATCTCCAAAGATGTTGTGTTTAATGAGTTCAAATTTCCCTTTCCCAACCTATTTCCTTCAGTTCACCTCCACTGCCCCTAATCCTACACATACAACTCCTTACTCTAGCACCATTATCCCTTTAGACTGGTCCTTACCCAATTCCTTACCCAATATATCCCAGCATCCCCTATCTCATTTTCCTTTATCAACTGCTTCACACTCACCTTTACACACTCAGCTGAGTTCCCATCATACATTGCCTTTATCTCCTATAACCCACTCACCTAACACTATGCAGTCTAGTTCCCATCACCCCTTGTCTACTACATCACAAATTGGTCATTCACGTGCTTCCTTCTCTGCTGCATCTACCTTTTCGCAGGCTCCTTTGTCTGTTGTTTCTCCTTTACCTGCTGCATCCCCTTTACCTTTGCCTGCTGCTTTATCTTTACCTGCTTCTTCCCCACAACCTTCTTTGTTTGGTCCCTCAACTTGTCCAGTAGACAATCCAAACACACAGCCTCCTTTCCTTTGTTCCTCAGCTGAACCAGTAGATCATACACCTTGTGATACATCAGCCACTACTCCTAGGCATGATTCCTCTTCTCCTCTTACTTCTATCAGTAACCATGTGAATCCTCGGTCAACTTCTTTGTCCAAGATTTATGAGTCTTCATCTGTCATCTCTCTACTTTCTAGTTCTAGCAATAACTCTCCTCCATCAGTGTCTTCTTCATCTCATATTCCCTCCTCTGGTTCAGATTACATGCCTCCTCTACCAGTTAAGTTGTCATCTTCTCCTCACACAATTTTTACCAGGTCCAAGGGTCCAGCACCTTCCTTGTTCACTGCTCATATGGAGCCCTTCACTGTTAAACAAGCTCTCTCGGTTCCAGCATGGGTTCAGGCAATGAACACTGAATATAATGCTCTCATTGCTAATGGTACCTGGTCTCTTATGCCACTGCCTGCTTCTCGTTCTTCCATTGGTTGCAAGTGGGTGTTTCGCATCAAAGAAAACCCTGATGGATCTATCAACAAATACAAGGCCAGGCTTGTAGCCAAAGGCTTTCATCAACAACTAGGCTTTGACTACAATGAAACCTTCTCTCCTGTGGTCAAACCTATTACTGTGCGAATCATGCTTACCTTGGCTTTATCTCATGGTTGGCCCTTGAAGCAGCTTGATGTTAACAATGCTTTTCTTAATGGAGAGCTCTTGGAAGAGGTTTACATGACTCAACCTCCTGGCTTTGAGGTTGCTGACAAGTCCCTAGTTTGTAAGCTCAACAAAGCTATCTATGGTCTCAAGCAAGCTCTTAGAGCTTGGTTTGAGAAATTTCGGGCAGCTCTTCACCAACTTGGTTTTGTTTCCAGCAAGTGTGATCCTTCTCTCTTCATACTTAGAACAAGTGGTCATTGCATTTATATCTTGGTTTATGTAGATGATATTATCATTACTGGCAGCAATCCTGATCTCATTCAGCATCTTACCAATCAATTAAATTCCAAATTTGCTCTCAAACAGCTTGGTAACCTGGACTATTTTCTTGGCATCAAGGTTAAGTCACTCTCCAATGGTCACCTGTTTTTATCTCAGTCTAAATACATCAAGGATGTCCTGCACAAAGCTGGTATGACAGATTCAAAGGGTATTTCCACTCCCATGCCAAGTGGTTGTAAACTCAGCAAACATGGAGCCAACTATGTACCTGATCCCTCCCTCTACAGATCCATTGTGGGAGCTTTGCAATATGCAACTCTAACCAGACCTGAAATTGCTTTTAGTGTCAACAAAGTGTGTCAATTTCTCTCTCAGCCACTGGAGGATCATTGGAAAATTGTTAAGAGGATTCTAAGATACCTTAAAGGCACTGTTTCATTTGGTCTTCTTTTTCATCCTCCTTCGAGACTTCATCCTCTCTCTCTTGTAGCCTTCTGTGATGCTGACTGGGGCTCTGATCCTGATGACAGGAGGTCCACCTCTGGAGCTTGTGTATACTTAGGCTCCAATCCCATCTCTTGGTGGGCTAAAAAGAAATCCCTAGTTGCTCGTTCAAGTGCTGAGGCTGAGTATCGAAGTTTAGCTCACACTGCTGCTGAAATTCTTTGGGTTCAATCCTTGTTAAAGGAGTTGCAAGTTCCCATCAAGGTTCCAGTAATTTACTGTGATAATCAAAGCACTGTTGCATTGGCTCACAATCCAGTCCTTCACTCCAGAACCAAGCACATGGAACTTGATGTTTTCTTTGTAAGGGAGAAGGTTCTTGCCAAGTCACTTGTTGTACAACACATTCCTGGTCCCTTACAAGTTGCTGATACCTTCACAAAACCACTGTCAGTTGCTCGTTTCAGTGAACTCAGAGATAAACTTAAAGTTTTTGATCTTCCGTTACTGATGCATCCTCCT